CGTTTCACCTTTCGCATTGGCAGTAACGTGTTTGTGCTCATGTATACAGGGGGGGGGGCAAACAAAGAGTCACTTTGCCCATGGCGCATATCATCATACATATCAAACTTTGTCGCAAAGGCTACCGCTCTTATTGGGGGCTATGCGGCGACATATTCCTTGAATGTACCCTCATAAGCATAATCAGCAGAACAACTGGTTAATGGCTTCTTAGGACACTAGCTCTGACTATGCAAGATGGCTTTTGACCAGCGTTTCAGAGACGTCGTAATCGTCTATGGTTTCTCGACGACCTCGTTGAGCTCGTACCGTGAACCATGTTTCCGTGGGAAAATCTTCTGATGTCGTCGGTGTAGAAAGCCCCTATGTAATTTTTTTGATAGAATAGAATGTGCTCTTCAATTGAGCTCATTCGGTTTGGTTTGGCAAAGTGTAATTAATTCTATTTTGAATGTGAGTGAGAGTGACCCTTTTTTGGCCCCTCTGCATATATGGGTAAGACGGGCTCAAGAGTGTGGGTGAAAAAGTGTAGCAACTGACAAGAACTGATAAGGAACGTCAGAATGTTAAAACCAGCCGATTCGTTGGCCTTCTCGGTAACAGTAGAAACTTGGCTATTATTGCGTGAAGCATAATATCGTAGCGCTTCAATTTTTCATTTCTTCACACAAATATTTGTAGCAAAAAATAAAAGCACAAAACTAATCAGTAATATTCACTTCGTCATTATCTACATCTTTAATTGCATGCACGATATCACCAGATCTGGAGCAAAGAAGGCAGGATCGATTAGAGCGAAGTTCGGTCAAGAGAATCTATTCAAAAGAACTTCCAATTTGGCGTTTTTTCTTCTTTATTAAACCGAGGAATAGCAGCTGTCGAAACGCCGATTTTCGCCGTCTGGATTTTCCAACTTCTAAGCTCTATATATATCTCAGTACAACTACAATGTTGAAGGAAAGGACAACTACGGTTTTGTAGAGCGGGAGAGTACTCTAGGCGATACACATATGTTTTAATTTATACGATCGGAAAAGCTACGATATTATGCTCCAACCCAATACATATGGTATGGGCAATCTTACGGGAACGCAAACAGTGGTAAACAAAAGTGGTAACAATCGAGGCTGATAAGGAAGGTAAGATACTGAGCACCATCATTTTCACTGTAGTCACAGCAGAACCTTAGCTCATACTTTTGCATAGGCGGTTGGACGGAGACACTGGTGAGTGGTACGAATTGATGACATATCATAAGGACCAAAAAGTGGAATCTCAGTGGAAATGGCTCCAACTTTTCGCAGTTAGCAAGCGATCAATATGGCGAGGTGTATTGTTAGTGAGTGAGAGAAAGTGGTGAATAGCGAAAACTTCACTGACAGAAGTAGCGACAACTTAGTGTGCCCGCAGTCGAACCAAACCAAGTGCGCAGCAAGTGATGCTGGTCAACTGCTCAACAATGCTAAATGTTTACGGAGTCATGTTAGTTACCATTTTCATTCAATTTAGCGGTCGAATAAGTTTTGGTTCTCAAAACGGAATGCCCGGTATTCATTATCGTATTTATTCGAGCATCCCATTCATCCTCAAGAACTCTAGGTGTAGCGGTCGAAAGGTGTTTGAGTTTACAATTACAACGCTAATGAAATGACATCCTACTATATATAATCGGCTAAGCGGTTGTGTGTGTGTATGTCTGACCGGAAATTCATAACTTCACCCCCTTTGGACCCAGAGCGCTCAAACTTCTAGGACCAGATTAGTCCCCCGTCAACCGCCGGGACCTTCCTTTCCTGCGCAAGCTTTCTATCCTCCGCTATGGTCCCTTCCTCCTGTGACACCAACACCTCCTGGAAGTGACGCGTATGCAACACAATGGTGTTTCATACAGTAGAAGGGACACAATCATGATATGACGGTAGATTTTTCGCTTCCCTTCCTCATCCTCCCTTCCTCTCTCCACTGCCCTCCAGCTGCCACTGCAGCACCATGTGGAATGAACGGAAGTGTGCTAAGCAGGTGTTTATATAGCCCTAAGAGTGTTATCACAACTATCCTGCTACAAAACATTGATATCTCAAATCCTGTAAGCTACCCGATTTGTTAGCGGTTTGTTTATCCCATGAGCTTCCTTCTCACTCACTTCATTTTGCGGACGGACACACATACATACATACACACACATACAGATACACAAACCGACACACAAAGTTAGCGCTTAAAATAGAAGGATATATAGGGGGCCAGAGGTGATTACTGGTGACGGGTGGTGGGAAGTGATAAGTACTGATAGGAGCTGATAAAGAACGGTAAATGTTGATGTCACCAATTTCGTTACGCCGTTCGCGTTGACAGTGGAGAGTTTGCGTTAATGTATGATATGTGGGGTGAGGTGGGGACCAAGAAGTTGATGAACGAATGTGGTAGCAACTGATAAGAACTGATAAGGGGCGTCAAAGTGTGGATACCACCAGTTTCGTTGCGGCCCTTGCGGTTACATTGGAACCTTGGCTCTCACATGTGGTATAGGGGATGGGACGGGAACACGGATAGCGGATGATTAGAAGTGATAACAAGCGATAACAGTTGATAAGGAAGTTAGGATTCTTGAGTACTGCTAATTCGTTGCAGCCTTCGTGGTGACAGTAAATATTAGCCCCTACACGTTGCGTGGAGGTTGGGACAGGGACACCGATTGTGAACAGGATGAACTGATAACAAATGAAAAGGAATGAGAAGAGCGTTTGGATGCAGGTCTCTACAACTTACCAGGAAGGGTCATTAGGCCAACCCGGCCAAATGAAATGAGGTGCACATTTCTGTACGCAGCATGAGACGCTGAACTCAAATCTGCTTTCATTATCTGCTGAACTCTTCTCTGAAAGGAGTTACGGAGGGTTTTTGTTGCCGCCCTTGATTTTCAGTGTTTTGCCTGCAATCACATGTTAGCCGCACTTATAAAAGTATCGAAAGGAGAACCGAGGCACTGGTGTGAGCCTTCGGTAGCGCAGTTGGTAGCGGTCGTGTTTCTCACGGAGGGGTCGGGGGTTCGGTCCCTTACGGGGTTTGTTGTTTTGCTTTTTTTCCAACATGGCTGAAAAGCCTTTTTGAATCTGTTATTTTACCAATGGTCGCCCGACGCTACATCTACGAAGAGTTTGCAAGCTGACCCTCTTAAACTTAAGCACTACTTGTCTGTGAAAGCCCATGGTGCCCGTAGTGCAGGTGCTATGCTTTTCCGTGGCAAGTAGGTACGATATTCGTATTCAGGGGATCAAACTACCCCTAAAAACGAGTTTTTCGCCAAATCTGAGGTGACGAACTAATTGAGAAAAAGCGGAGCAGTGATGGGATTACCACTCCTCAAACTCCACTTTTTTGGGTTGACCAATCATGGACGACGGGGGAAAGGGGAGAGAAGGTGTTGTATTAGGAAATAATGCTTTGCAGATCTTTGGATGATGCAGACGGGCAAGCCAGACACAATTTTTGTCTATTATGAAAAGTGTTTAAAGGTTTATTCTACCCAAGTGCCAGCCTTTTGTAATGGATTGGTGGATCGGTGAGTAAGTGACTGCCCAAATTTTCGAGGTTAGGTCAAAATTTCAGAATTCGCTAGAAGTTTGCTCAAAGGGAGAGTCTGGCTCCCTGATTACGAATATCATACTTGTTCGAAGCAAAAATGCCTGGCGCCTGCGCTACAAGCGCCCAAAGTAGTGAGGAGCGATGCCGCCCAAGTTCGTTATTAATTGCCCTTAAATTCTTTGTACTGTTAACTATACGCAAGCATGTTGGACTAGCGATGTTAGGAGTCTTCCTAGCTATCTTACTGCAAACGGCAAAAGAACAAACTCGCCAGGGAGTTGATCCCCTGACCTCTTTTTCGTGAGCCTCGACCACAGCCCCTGCGCTTTTCTGCTTCATAATTCCTTTCAGAGAAGAGTTCAGCAGATAAGGAACACATATTTGAGCTCAGCGTCCCAAGGCGCGTATACACATATACATCTCATTTCAAATGGCCGGGTTGACCAAATGACCTTTCCTGGTTAGCTGCAATCACCACTGGCAAGCGATCAGAGTTGCCAGGGTTGAACATAGGTGACAGAAAGTGGTATGAGCGGCAACTGTACTGATAAAAATAACGACAGTTGAGGTGCACTCAACTGAACTAAACGAGGTCCCCAGCACTTATCTGAAGAAGCAAAGAAAGTTGAGCTGCTCAACTATCTGAACTTGGACCATAGCAAATATTCCATTATATTCATCATAGCTCGGTTAGATGCTGATTGATTGGTTATATTTCACTTACACACCGATTCTTCAATTGTGGAAATTCTATAAACCGCTAAATCATCCCGAGCTCGATATCAATGCTAAATGTTTACGAAGTCATGATAAGTACAATTTTCATTCTGCGCGCATTACGCTACAATCTTCAGCAAAATTGGACAGCCTTTGAAATTCATGTGACACATCTTCCAAACATCTTACTGTTAGTTTCTCAGCCACGTGACCTAATATTCAGCAAGTTGTCCAGTTTCACTAAAGCCTACCATGTGATGCGCGCGGTTGCGTGCGGAGCTAAACTGGTTGAATAAAATGCATTATCTGCAATCTGGTTTAAGTGATCTCTACGTTCGTACGCATATCGTTATATCAGTCCTCATCAGTCGTTATCACTTTTGACCCCCACCAAATATGTTCCGTCCCACCCCCTATATCATGTCCCAAAATCAGCTCCTGACGACTGCTGCGAAGCGCACTATGAATTTCGTGAAATTTGTGTTTCAGCGCCTCTTATCTGCTCTTATCAGTCGTTATCACTTTGTGACCCCCACCAAATATGTTCCCGTCCCACCCCCTATATCATATCAAAAAATCAGCTCCTAACGACTGCTGCGACGCGTGCTATGAATTTCGTGACACACGCACACACACACACACACACACGTACAGACAGACATAGCGTTTTATATATAGTAGTAGGATAAATTATAACTATGATGGCTTTTGTATGTATTTCGAGAAAGGAACAACGCGACTCATCAAAAGATACTTTGTTTCAGCTAATAACATTCGTGAGTGATGTGACGCACCTCATCAAAGATGCAAGAATGGGACTCATTTCTGTCGGATGCCCAGCATCGACAAGCATTCCGATAGGGAGTTACACAATGACAGAATTCACGTAATTTGTAAAATATTTCATTGATTATTACTGCACCAGATTAGTCCCCCGTCAAAACCGCCGGGGACCTTCCTTTCCTGCGCAAGCTTTCTATCCTCCGCTATGGTCCCTTCCTCCTGTGACACCAACACCTGGAAGTGACGCGTATGCAACACAATGGTGTTTCATACAGTAGAAGGGACACAATCATGATATGACGGTAGATTTTTCGCTTCCCTTCCTCATCCTCCCTTCCTCTCTCCACTGCCCTCCAGCTGCCACTGCAGCACCATGTGGAATGAACGGAAGTGTGCTAAGCAGGTGTTTATATAGCCCTAAGAGTGTTATCACAACTATCCTGCTACAAAACATTGATATCTCAAATCCTGTAAGCTACCCGATTTGTTAGCGGTTTGTTTATCCCATGAGCTTCCTTCTCACTCACTTCATTTTGCGGACGGACACACATACATACATACATACATACATACATACATACATACATACACACATACAGACATACAAACCGACACACAAAGTTAGCGCTTTATAAAATAGAAGGATACTCAAGATAGGATTTGAGAGAAGTCGAAGTAGTGGCAAGCTATCCACAAGAACCAAATTGTTCACTCAATACTCAAGCCGACAATCGTATAACATTAGTGGACCTGTTGTCCTGCCTAAGATATTATCTACCACCTCTTTTCTTACCAGGCTGCTTTTCGATAATCACTTTATCATATAAACCAGAACTTTGGTGTGTCTGTTTGTCGGTGTGTGTGTCGTCGTCTTTGACCGTCGGGACCCAACCGCACACAAAACCAGGGATAAGAAGGGCAACACTTCATGATGTTGTCATGATCATGAGAACACCCACAGCGGCTACATAAACACGATTGAGCACACTCAGCCTTATTCTACATGGTGCTGCCGTGGCGGCCGGACGAGCGAGATGAGGATGGAGGGGGGGGGGGGTAGAGGGAAGGTGCAAGCAAGGGGGAGGCTGGCGCGCGGTGGAAGGAGGGGAGAAGGAAGCAGGAAGGGAGGGGGGAGAGGGAGGGAAGAGGAGAAAGGGAGGGAGAACATGGTGCTGCCATGCGCCGGAGAGAAGGGGTATAAGGAGGTATAACACATTCAATAGTGAGGTGGTTAATGGAGTACGTCATGCTGCTATTCCGTGGTTCCTCCCTACCCTGTGATGCGCGCGATAGCGGGCGGAGCAAAACTGGTATTCAACATGTTTGGTTCTCATAGTTTGCACTGAGTCAATCTCTTTCAGGCATCTACTGAATTCGTTGAAGTATCCCAACGGTAAACCTGAAATGTTCGCCGCTTTTAACCTTGCCAGGGATCTTATATATGTGAGTACATTCAAATAAAAAACCAAAAGCCAATTAAATCGAATAGCAGTACTGGGCTGCCTGAAGTTTCTGTAATCTCTCGAAGCTGCTAATCTTTACAAACTGAGAGCATCTCGTTGAAGTAGTAGTCTGGCGCTAATAAGTCCCACTTGTTTCCAAAGTCGAACTTCGGCAATATACACGACTTATTCCGGCCCTTACGAACTCCCACAACGTATATTTATCTACCACCCCTGCTCAAGCAAAGTTGTCGGCGTCATAGTCATGAGAGACGCGAGGGGGGGGGGACTGCAGGCATCGAGGACGAAGATTGAGCTTTATATGGAAATCTACTAATCACCAACACTAATTTTTCGTGGACCTACACTTCCACATGGTCTCATGAATAGAAGAGTGAGATGGGTCTAGGTCAGATGAAGAGAATAAAGCACTGTAGCAGACCATATCTCAGTGGTTTCTAAGTTGGTATTCTACGTTGTCATAGTGCAGCTCACCTACTGTAGTAAGTACCTTAACGCGGAGAGGTTCCTGAACCAATGGAGATCGTCAAATGTGATTCTACTGTTCAAGGAGGGCAAGCGCGACCAAGTAAAGAACCAGGCCTCATTGACTCTCACAGTCATGCAATCTGTCCATGAAAGTCGCTCTTAAAAGACCTGAGAGAAAAATGGACTGCCAGCCAGTGAAAGGCCGGGCTAAGCAAGGGCTTCTGCTGTCCGAACCATAAACTCAGCTGTCTAGCAGACCAAGGAATACAAGCACCGCTCTCTCCTGCTTTATCGACTGTGCGAAGGTATTCGACAATGAGAGATCAGTGGAGACCCAAGCTACATCAACCTGTTGGAACCATGCAAGATGTAGATTTTTACCATCATTCGCATGTTCCCACGACAGCATCCGTAATGCCGCGGCGCATGTGCGGGACGCAAAGAGACGATGGGCCGGACACGTGGTCAGATTTATGGACGGTCGGTGGGCCACTGCATTGCGGTCTGGTACCCATGAAACATTAAGCGCACACTTGCAAGGTTAGGGAAAGATATCCTAAAGAAACCTTCAAGACACTGCATGCCAGCACTGGGCACAGGCAAAACAAATCTGGGGTTCGTGTTCACTGGACGATTTCAAGAGTGCTAAAAAGTAGTGCAGGGTTTTTCAAGTCTTTTGTCCTCGGTGGGCATTCAACACTGCATTTAGGGTTCAAATCTTGCAGTGAAATGGGGAGCACGCGACCGGCTTAGGCAATAGAGAGGGAAAAATTTAAATAGTAGGTCTAGAAACAATAGAGAGATTTGAACGGCTAGAACAAACAGAGCCCATTTCGGCGCATGCAGAACCATTGTCGACTAGACTATTCCGGATCCCTCTTCTGTGTTCTGTACTCCGGAACTACTGTTGTTCGGGCTGTCTGGCCTTCTCTTCTCTTGAATTACCTTCAAAACGTTCACACTATGAAAGGATCATAAACTACGACATTATTCAGAAGGTATTTGAGATGTTGCCTTGCTGTCTTGAAGAACGACTTAGCAACGCACTGTGTTGAATCTTAGTCCTTCTTCCTTTACGGCCTATCCGGGCCCTGGCAGAGGCATCTGGACTTTCAGCGCACGGACGCTTGCATCCAAAGCTCACATCGAAGACCTGATGATGCAGGCCAGGAAGATCAAGTACGACGTCATCGGACTGACCGAGACGAGAAGGCACCGCCCGCTACACGCCGTTTTCGATACTGGAGAAGAACTGTTCCTTGGAACATGCGACAGCAGAGGCGTTGGCGGTGTGGGTGTCCTCGTCAACACGCAATTGGCCATAAACATCGATTCGTTCGAAAGCCTAACGAGCCGAATCGTATGGTTGTCGATATATCATCAATCATTCTACACAATCTGTCCACATTCTAATCGTTTCTGCGCTAGTCACTGTTTGCACATTTTTAGCTCCTCTGCTCTATCCCTTCAGGCTTGGCGAAAACGCCCATCATTTGGTCAAAGACCTCTCTGCCACATACGACGCAGGGGTCAACCGTCCGTTGGACAAAGTCCAACAAGGGTGTCGTATTCGGCCCGCCGAAAAGGAGGGGGGTGCTATTCACAAGGAGCAACGTCTCAATGCATAAGAGGAAGGCATAACTTCCGAGCGCTTCTTCAACTACTAACCACAAACGAGTGCACGGCGCAACTTAGAGCAGAAGAATCCACTGCAGTAGTGCCCATGTGTGACTATTCACTTACACAAATATGCTTCTGAAAAAACCAATGTCTTCAAACTAGGCAGGTTAGTAGGGCCGGCCCCCAAGTTGTCGGTGGATTTACCTGAAGGCTTACAATAAAGTTTGGAGAAGCAAAATATCCTGTCGACGAGCTGCTAGAAAGGGGCATATAAGCTTATGAAGACACAAGGTTCTGCGGATATCGTTGGGGTCATCGATTTACAGCGCTCGAAGAACTGAGGTTGGTGAGAGTGAAGGCGTAATGTGTGAGTGTTGAAACTCGTGTTTTCAGAGAGTCGCTCCTAAAAGTCGTGAAAAAACGGTTCCGCGATTTCCCAAAACGGCCCAACGGGGCGGTTTTTTGACTAAATCAGTTTTGAAAAGAGTTCAAGTATTCGTAAGAAAATCCTCTAACATTCTAGTTTTAGTCTCAGGGGACAATAATTCAAAAGGTGCTTTCTAAAATAAAGTTATAGTCACTTGAAAGCCAAAAAACCCGGTTGTGCACAAAAAAACGGTCCAACGGGGCGATTTTCGAGAAAAAAACTTTGCAAAAGCTAGAGCACTTTTTAGAAAGAAAACAATCTGGAGTTTCAAATTTTCTTACCACTCTCACACTTTCATTTGAAGAAAATTACAACCTTCAAATGAAGATGCGCATTCTGTGGATTCTAAATTCTCTACCCCATAACTAAAAGAGTTCTGGAGATACTGCATAAACGTGGTGGTTTTCTGAAACTAGCAGTCTCGTAGATTACAAATCTACTTGGCGTTCGAAAAATATTGACGTTGAACAGAATTACACTCATTTGAAAATTAGTAGTCTGCTTTGGTCTATTCGGCCCAGTAGAAGATTGTGCGCGCCAATGCAAACGCGACGCTACCGCGCTCAATCTGGTGTAACGCTCGAAACAGTAGTACGAAGTAGTACGCAAACACACACAAATTACCAAGTGTACAGTACATAATAAGTGTTTGGGGGGGGGGGTCGTATCGAGACTCGCCAAAAGGAGGGGGGTCGTAAAATTTTCGAAATTGGTCCAACGTGACGGTTGACCCTGATTCGACGCTAACACAGCCGACCCTATCAAAAAGGGTCCCTCAAAAGGGCCGCTGATCTTATCGTGGGCTCTTATGCGTGCTCATAGCTATCAAGAAAAATAGCACAATGGGAATACCCTGTCCGCATTCACTTTTCACCAGAGAAAGAGCAAACCAAAACCAATACAACTGCAATGAAAAGGTCATGACTTGATCCAAGCTAATCAACTCTCTTACATCACAAACATCTCGCTCCTGTTTAGGCTGAAAGAAGCAAATGGCAAACTATAATGGTTTTTTCAAATGCGCGGTATTCAACCCAAATCTGTCTCAACTCGAAATTAAGGGAAGATGAATTTACAATTGCGGATGAGGCAAGCTTTCATTTATTGCTATGAGCATCATTTTCCTTTCCGATTATGAATGGTCAGTGGTACTCATACGACTGAAGTAATCGAATATTTTAAACAACGCTTTTGAATGATGTGCCAAACAGGTTGTTACGGTGGAACACGTTTATTGGTCAACGTTTCGACAAATCGTCGTCTTCAGGACCTGAAACTGGTTCGAAGTCCTAGCTCTGTAGCTCACCCGGTAAAGCGCCTAATCTTGCTGAGTTCTAACGCGAAATAATACAAAATAGACGATACCAGCGAACGAACTAACCTGTTGTGGATCCACCAGTTTCTAGCAGCCTCCTCGTGTCAGTGAGCAAATAAAATGAGACACCATTGGACAGTCAGCGTCCTACGTGTCGTATGTGGTGATCTCATAGTCCACATAAAGGAATGAAAGGCAAGAATTCATTGGTAATGGCCATGCATTCATTCCGGTTGTTCAGTCTTGGATTTTTAACGCGGATATATAGCGCCTCTAACATTTTTCTAGCACCGATGTCGCTTTCATGAGCTAGAATTTTGCATTTTATTTCAAAATCACTACCCTGACAACATGTTATGTTAGGCGTACGTGTTAAAGAACATATGGCTGGGAAAAGGCGCGGAAATCTTCTCTTTCGATACTGGAGAAGAACTGTTCCTTGGAACATGCGACAGCAGAGGCGTTGGCGGTGTGGGTGTCCTCGTCAACACGCACTTGGCCATAAACATCGATTCGTACGAAAGCCTAACGAGCCGAATCGTATGGTTGACGATAATATCATCAATCATTCTACACAATCTGTCCACATTCTAATCGTTTCTGCGCTAGTCACTGTTTGCACATTTTTAGCTCCTCTGCTCTATCCCTTCAGGCTTGGCGAAAACGCCCATCATTTGGTCAAAGACCTCTGCCACATACGACGCAGGGTCAACCGTCCGTTGGACAAAGTCCAACAAGGGTGTCGTATTCGGCCCGCCGAAAAGGAGGGGGGTCGTATTCACAAGGGTCAACGTCGCAATACGTAGAGAGAGGCATAACTTTCGAGCGCTTCTTCCAACTACTAACCACAAACGAGTGCATGGCGCACCTCAGAGCAGAAGAGTCCACTGCAGTAGTGTCCATATGTGACTATTCACGTACACAAATATGCTTCTGAAGAGAACCAATGTCTTCAAACTGGCCTATGTTAGTAAAAGTGGTGGATTGACTGCTAAGGCTTACAATAAAAGTTTGGAGAAAAAAATTTGCCTGTCGACGAGTTCCTAGAAAGAGTTCAGTATCTGTTATGAAGCACAAAGCTTGTGCGATCTCATGGTATCATTACTCCCCATAAAATTGAGTTTGAAGAGAGCTGTAGTGTTTGAGTGTTGAAAACTCGTGTTTTCAGAGAGTCGCTCCTAAAAGTCGTGAAAAAACGGTTCCGCGATTTCCCCAAAACGGTCCAACGGGGCGATTTTTTGACTAAATCAGTTTTGAAAAGAGTTCAAGTATTCGTTAGAAAGCTCTAACCTTCTAGTTTATCCAGGGGACAATAATTGCAAAAGGTGCTTTCTGAAGAAAGTTATAGTCATTGAAAGCCAAAAAACCCGGTTGTGCACAAAAAACGGTCCAACGGGGCGATTTTTGAAGAAATGAAACTTTGCAAAAGTTGAGCACTTTTTAGAAAGAAAACAATCTGGTTTCAAAATTTTCTTACCACTTCTCACACTTTCTTATTTGAAGAAAATTACAACCTTTCAAATGAAGAAGTGCGCATTTCTGTGAATTCTAAATTCTCTACCCCATAACTAAAAGAGTTCTGGAGATACTGCATAAACGTGGTGGTTTTCTGAAACTAGCAGTCTCGTAGATTACAAATCTACTTGGCGTTCGAAAAATATTGACGTTGAACAGAATTACACTCATTTGAAAATTAGTAGTCTGCTTTGGTCTATTCGGCCCAGTAGAAGATTGTGCGCGCCAATGCAAACGCGACGCTACCGCGCTCAATCTGGTGTAACGCTCGAAACAGTAGTACGAAGTAGTACGCAAACACACACAAATTACCAAGTGTACAGTACATAATAAGTGTTTGGGGGGGGGGGTCGTATCGAGACTCGCCAAAAGGAGGGGGGTCGTAAAATTTTCGAAATTGGTCCAACGTGACGGTTGACCCTGATTCGACGCTAACACAGCCGACCCTATCAAGAAAGGGTCCCTCAAAAGGGTCCGTTGATCTTATCGTGGGCTCTTATGCGTGCTCATAGCCATGAAGAAAAACAGCACAATGGGAATACCCTGTCCGCATTCACTTTTCACCAGAGAAAGAGCAATCCAAAACCAATACAACTGCAATGAAAAGGTCATGACTTGATCCAAGCTAATCAACTCTCTTACATCACAAACATCTCGCTCCTGTTTAGGCTGAAAGAAGCAAATGGCAAACTATAATGGTTTTTTCAAATGCGCGGTATTCAACCCAAATCTGTCTCAACTCGAAATTAAGGGAAGATGAATTTACAATTGCGGATGAGGCAAGCTTTCATTTATTGCTATGAGCATCATTTTCCTTTCCGATTATGAATGGTCAGTGGTACTCATACGACTGAAGTAATCGAATATTTTAAACAACGCTTTTGAATGATGTGCCAAACAGGTTGTTACGGTGGAACACGTTTATTGGTCAACGTTTCGACAAATCGTCGTCTTCAGGACCTGAAACTGGTTCGAAGTCCTAGCTCTGTAGCTCACCCGGTAAAGCGCCTAATCTTGCTGAGTTCTAACGCGAAATAATACAAAATAGACGATACCAGCGAACGAACGAACTAACCTGTTGTGGATCCACCAGTTTCTAGCAGCCTCCTCGTGTCAGTGAGCAAATAAAATGAGACACTATTGGACAGTCAGCGTCCTACGTGTCGTATGTGGTGATCTTATAGTCCACATAAAGGAATGAAAGGCAAGAATTCATTGGTAATGGCCATGCATTCATTCCGGTTGTTCAGTCTCGGATTTTTAACGCGGATATATAGCGCCTCTAACATTTTTCTAGCACCGATGTCGCTTTCATGAGCTAGAATTTTGCATTTTATTTCAAAATCACTACCCTGACAACATGTTATGTTAGGCGTACGTGTTAAAGAACATATGGCTGCGGAAAAGGCGCTGGCAAATCTTCTCACTCCCTCTGTCATGCACCGACCAGAAAACATCAGATAGATATCCTTCTATTTTATAAAGCGCTAACTTTGTGTGTCGGTGTGTATGTATGTGTGTGTGTATGTGTCCGTCCGCAAAATGAAGTGAGTGAGAAGGAAGCTCATGGGATAAACAAACCGCTAACAAATCGGGTAGCTTACAGGATTTGAGATATCAATGTTTTGTAGCAGGATAGTTGTGATAACACTCTTAGGGCTATATAAACACCTGCTTAGCACACTTCCGTTCATTCCACATGGTGCTGCAGTGGCAGCTGGAGGGCAGTGGAGAGAGGAAGGGAGGATGAGGAAGGGAAGCGAAAAATCTACCGTCATATCATGATTGTGTCCCTTCTACTGTATGAAACACCATTGTGTTGCATACGCGTCACTTCCAGAGGTGTTGGTGTCACAGGAGGAAGGGACCATAGCGGAGGATAGAAAGCTTGCGCAGGAAAGGAAGGTCCCGGCGGTTGACGGGGGACTAATCTGGTAAATAAAATGCAAAATTCTAGCTCATGAAAGCGACATCGGTGCTAGAAAAATGTTAGAGGCGTTTATATCCGCGTGAAAAATCCAAGACTGAACAACCGAATGAATGCATGGCCATTACCAATGAATTCTTGCCTTTCATTCCTTTATGTGGACTATGAGATCACCACATACGACACGTAGGACGCTGACTGTCCAATGGTGTCTCATTTTATTTGCTCACTAACACGAGGAGGCTGCTAGAAACTGGTGGATCCACAACAGGTTAGTTCGTTCGCTGGTATCGTCTATTTTGTATTATTTCGCGTTAGAACTCAGCAAGATTAGGCGCTTTACCGGGTGAGCTACAGAGCTAGGACTTCGAACCAGTTTCAGGTCCTGAAGACGACGATTTGTCGAAACGTTGACCAATAAACGTGTTCCACCATAACAACCTGTATGGCACAGAAGAAAACAACACAATATTCAAAATGCCCAGGTTCCAGGAAAACCGAACATGGAGTATATTGCTTTTGAATGACTTCATCTTTCAAGTTCTGCACCAGATGCAAAGCACTCGAATAAGCCTTTGTCGTTCCTTGCTTTTGAGATTGGGATAAGGATAAGGATAAAGCATTTGCCGTTGATCAATCCCTTTTTGGGATGCGGCACGCATTCTACTTCCATTTGTACATTCGTAGTGGCGTTTGAATGCGATGTGGCCTATACAATGACTTGCGGGGGCCAGCCGATGTACAAGTCAGTGTTTTTATCCTCCCAGACAAGTCTGGTACCAATTAACCGACCCCGGAGGGATGGAAGGCTTGGTTGGCCCGGGCGACTCACGACCCAGGATTTGATCCCCGGACCGCTCGCGTGGTAAGCGCGCCACTTGTCCACTACACCACTTCCGCCCTTAAGATTAGCTACTCAAATTTCGCAAAATCACGATTTACAAGAAACGGTGCTTCTTCTAAGCAAGTTGATTTCTGGTCGCAAATCGTCGAAAAGTACCACTCAAAAATAATCCTGATTTACCTATCTTCTTGTTCAAATCCATGATACAACATTTCGTTATCCTATCTTTCTTCTGCGCCTTTCAATTTTTCTGACAGTATTGCTTTGTAGCTTCGAAGGGAAGGTGTACTGACACTTTTCATCAGTTTTGAAGGGAAGCATGGGCATTCTAACGAAACTTATGCAGCAAGGCTTGCTGGGTCTGCTGAAAATGTCATTCAAGTTGATATCGACAAGCCTGCTTCTGTAAGTTAAAAAATGGGGGGTTATTTAATCAAACATCTGTTCCTAATGAAAATTCTGAGTTGCCACTTTGCAGAGAGATTTCGCAAAAAGCGTCGATTTAGTGGACGACAAAATGAGAAACTTGTGTTTCGTGAGCAACCGGCCAACTGTAGATCCGACCTCACTTCAGACATACAGGTGCCCTTCGGTAAGACTGCTTTTTATCAATTCATGTTGGAAGGCTGACTATTAAAGTCAGTAATTTTATAATGGGCGTAATTAAGAGCAACACGAGTGCAGTATGCTACCAGCTCATCCGCTCTCTACTATGCGCGTGGCATCGGAGGCTTCGGTGAAAGTGGAGAGCCGATAGAGCGTTAGGTTGGTAGTCAGGTAGTGCCACTGGTAAGATTAAGTTGCTTTGTGCTTTGCGTTAGCTGACTGTCCGCTTGATACACACGGTGCTGTACGGAGCTAAAGTGATGTCTGTAAACAACCACCATGCATTGCATGTCAGAACAATTTGTCGGTTGAATAATCCCCGACGCTACGATCTCAAAATGTGAATACCCAGTAATTATTATCACATTTCTTGAAACAATCACCGTAGGGACCGTTTTAGGGCTCCAGGGAGAGTAGTAGTAATGGTAATTTCTGAAGACGACAACGCAAATAAAATGGTATCAAACTGGATTGCCACGTCGTTGTGGTCAGTCCTTATCAGCCCTCATCACTTTCTGACCTCACCAAATACGTTCCCGTCTCATCCTGTACATCACTTCTTAGAACCAACGCCCTAGTGGTAACGAGACGACCATTGCGACATGCTGCGCTGAAACCAAGAACGTATTGATCCTCAACAACTGTCAGTAAATGTACCTCAGCGTTGTTGCTAACTCACGACTGGTAGCAATCGGCTGCGCCTCTGGGAAGTTGAGCAAATGCTCACCATTCACCACCTACAGCCGACCAGAGCAGTGCTTTACTTTGAGTCAAATATCTCCGGATGCAAAGCCTTAGGGACAACGGGACACGATGGTGTGCTGAACGAGTCACCTCCTGAATACAGCAGATAATAGCTTCAACGCATGCAAGCAGAGTGGATTCTAGGTGCTCGAGAAATAAAACATGTCAAAAGATGGCTCAGTTCAGAGAGAAGTTTGGAGCTGTAGAAACGCTGCTTGAAGCCTTCATGTACGCTTCTGCTGGAATCTTCAAAGACACACTACAGTAAAAAATGTCCAAAACAACTGAAAGGAAGTGAAATAATTTGTACATAGTGTCGCAGGATTTTCTGAACAACCCATTATATTATATTAGGAACCTCACCAGGAAAGGATCCCAGCTCACCGTGGTCATTCAAGAAGAGATGTATACCACTAGATGTGCCTTTGAACGCTGATCTCAAATCTACCTTCCAAATCTGCTAAACGATTTCCTAAACCGAGTTATGAAGTAGTATAGCTCAACTCCAGTGGCCGTGGCTCACAGCCGAGACGCCGCAGGACCAATCCATGTTTGACTACTGCTTTTGTTGGCAATACAGCTAGAGAGACCTCAAACATTCCTCATCAACGCTTGATTGAAACTACCTGTACGAAAGACTTATGAGCAGTTACAACTTTAGCGACTGTTCCCGCATGACAACATAGCGACCGTATGACATGTACCAGACGACTTTGCACAAAGCGAGAGTGATATTCGTTATCAGAGAAATTGCTTCTGAAAGCAAATTTTCGGCCAAATCCGAGATTTGGAAATTTAAGCATCATCCATCATCCTTACTGGTTACCAAGGCTTGTTGAGATAGGGTCGAATTCCAGAAACACTTCGTGTTACATTCTTGA